TTTCTGAAGATCATGTGACACTGAAGACTGGAGTAATGATGCTGAAAATACAGCTGCGCATCACAGAAATAAATTCTATTTTAACATATATTAAAACAGAAAATGATATTTTAAATTGAAAAAAATATTTAAAAAATATTAATAATATTTTTTATTTAATTGGTATTACATTTCATGCATAGCTGTCAGATCATTATGAAAAAATATCTTCATGAAGGTAAAAATACCCCTAAAAATGAAGTGAATGTTACCCTTAATAAAAAGTGAATTTCTGAGCATCACAATCATGACAGAGCGGCCCTTCACGGGCCCCAGTCGGCCTCAGAACGGGGCCTTCGGCGGCACAATAGCTTCTGTTGTTTTTCACTTGTTTGTGTCTCGTCGTGGTGTTCTGTGTGTCCTCCAAAGTTACGTCAGCAGAGTTAGTTTCCCACGGTGCCGCTGGCTGGATTCTTGCTCTGTTGACATTGTTGTGTCCTGTAACCCACTTCCTTTGTGATTAAATGTCTGCGAGTGTGTGTGTGTTCGTGAATATGTTTCTTGCTTTTTATCTCTGCGCTGCTTTGATAAGGCAGGTCTGTTTGTTTGACCTGGAAATGGGGCTCTTGGACCTATTTGTGCTTGAACTGTTTGGGACGGGTGCATTAATCGCGATTAATCGTTTAACAGCACTAACAATTATTAATGACTGTATGTATAATGCTATATATTTGTAACGCTCATATTCATGTAATGAGACAATATAAATATTGATATAAACTTTATAAATAAATATAAATATTTAAATACATGAATATCTTTTTATTTATTTAAAATTTTAATTATTATATATATGTAAATTCATTTATTTATTTACTGTTTTTACAAAGTTTTCTGAGGCATTGACAAATCTAGTTTTTTTTTTTTTGGTGGTTCAGGATAAAAGTCACTACAGCAGTGTTTTATTTTTGATTTTTTAATTTAATGAATTACGTTTTCTTAGTTTCTTTGCTTGTAGGAAACTTAAAATGCCTTGTGCTGAATTTGAGCTGTTCATCAGTGTTCAGTGTTCATCAATGCCAGTAATCAGTCTGAATCTTCACGCAATCACATCCTCTAAACTTTGAATGAACATGAAAATATGAAGCACTTTTGTCATTTAGGCCACTCGAGTTCACCATTTCCTCCAAACGCTGTAGCATCTATGCTAAGAATGCTTGTGCTTTATTATTAGCCGTCTAGAGACGTCACGCTGAGCTCGCGGAGAAAAGATGCCAGAATGCCAGCATTACGTCAGCGCTGTGGGGACAATCTCACTTCACTTTCATTGTCTCACTGAGGAGTTTAGTTCACTACAGCAGAAATGCTGCTGTCTTCACTATTTGTGCAGCATGTGATTGTGCCGTCTGAGTCCCTGGATGACCTTACAGATGTCAATAGAGAGAATAATGAATGCACAAGGTTTACTTTATGTAAGAAAACAGTTCATCCTTGATCAAGAGGATCTTCAGTTCCTGCTGCTTTTGTTCAGCTGCTCTGATTTTCTGTCCTCTGACTGTATTTTATACCATCTGTCCCAAAGTTAGGTTCTTTTTTTCTTTTTCTTGCTGAAAGTAAATTTAACCAGGGCTCAGGGCAAAAATTACATAAAAAATGCCCCAGATATTGGAAAAAAAAAAAAGCCCCATAGTGAGTTTGATGTTTCATAATATCCTAGATTATACACTACTGGTCAAATGTTTTTGAAAGAAGTCTCTTCTGCTCACCAAGTCTGCATTTATTTGAAGTTTCCCACGGTGCCGCTGGCTGGATTCTTGCTCTGTTGACATTGTTGTGTCCTGTAACCCACTTCCTTTGTGATTAAATGTCTGCGAGTGTGTGTGTGTTCGTGAATATGTTTCTTGCTTTTTATCTCTGCGCTGCTTTGATAAGGCAGGTCTGTTTGTTTGACCTGGAAATGGGGCTCTTGGACCTATTTGTGCTTGAACTGTTTGGGACGGGTGCAGACGCAACACTGGCCGCATGTTGATTAGCACTTATGTCACGAGTGTAAAGTCAACATCTCTCTTAATTGGTGTTGCTGGTCTTAATGTGAATGATTCATAATGGTATTATGAAGAACAAACCGCCTCTGAACCATCTGACGTCATCAATTCCTCTGTTGTCTTCCACTTTCCTCCATTCCAGTCTGCCACTTTTTTTCGTGATCCAGTCAAGTCCTCTACTGTATTTATTTTTTCACGACGATTTGCATGTTGAGTTTAAATGCCATTTAAAAACTATACTGCAATTGTTTTTTGC